CGCCGCCCGGCCCCGCCGCCAGCCTGAAGCTGGCTTTGTCTGACCCTGGGCTGCCTCCCCCCTGCCCCTGGGGACGGTTCGGTCTTTGACTATACGCAGGCTGCCGCTCCACTGAGTGGTTGCCGCTGTGTCATTTGGAAACGCTTGCTGGGCTGTGTCTTGGTGTCTTATATTTCTGTGGTTTAGGCCGCTAGTTAGAGAGTAAGTGCCTTGCTCATCTTAGAATATCAGTTATACAAATAAATGAAATGCGTATCTTGTGACATCTGCCAATGTTTATTATTGAACACTTAATGAAAAAAGTAATTCCTGTCATTTTTTTCTTATAGCTGTCTGTAATATCTAAAACTAGTGTATTCAGAGCCATTTTTCATAATACTCAGTTTTGGTCTTTTCGCTATGCAGTCAAGCTTGTACATGGATCCTACAGCAACAGGATTAAACGGTTGCTGCCAGCACGGAGTTCTCTTAATCCTAGGTACTCCATATGGCTCTAGAGACCCAAAGTAATTTGGTTGTAGTAAATGTTTATTATTTTATTTAATAATGTCTGTGAGAGAGGGGAGATAAAAATACTTTTTTTCACTACAGGAAACTGTAATTATAGAAGAGTTCATATTCCCTATTTATTTTTAAGTCTTATAGAAGAGTTAATTTTTCTTATTGTGGAAGACTTAATAGTCAAGTCAGTTATGGCAGTTAGCTCTTGAATAGCTAGATATAGATATATAGAGAAGGTAAAAAGCATTTCAACTTATGCCTTGAAGCATCCTTTGAAGCTAGGGCCGCTTCATTTTCTGATGGAGAAAATAAGGTGTGGAGTGGTAAGGTGACTTGCCCCTTATTGCATGGAAAATCTTTGAGCCAAAGGTAGAGCTACTCATTTACTACTCTTAAACAGAAGAAATAAAAGTGGACTTGCAATTTTCATTTCTTTCTTTCTTGTCTGATTTTTCTTCATCATAATGTGTAGACTGGGAACACGCTTTCCTTTTTTTTTTTTTTTTTTTCTTCTTAATTATACTGTTTCTTGTTTCATTTCTAGGTTAAAGTGAAAATACCTTTTGGAAACAAATATCTTGATGCTATCTTTTCTGTCCCAGAGAAGAAATCAAGATATGGAGTGATTCTTACCCATGGAGCTGGAGGAGATATGAATTTCCCTCACTTAGTGTCTTTGGCAGCCTATCTTGCATCCCATGGAGTTCTGTGCCTGCGGTTTACTTGTAAAGGCCTTAACATTGCTTATAGGACTAAGGCCTTCAAAACAGTTGTGGTAAGAAGTGACCCATGGGTGCACAGGATTTAAAACAAACAAAAAAACCCCAAATCCTGCCTGCTTCTGGCTTTCTTAAATTACAACCAGCTATTAGTCAAGCAGCAATGGGAAAATTAGAAATGATGGTTAGCTGAATGGAGCAGTGCCCATGAGCAGAAACAGCAGGAGCAATTTTTATACAGGCAATAGCTAGAACAGCTGCAGCAAATACGTGGATTTGAGCTCAGGGAGAAAAAGAAAAGCTTGAGAAAAGGATGTGAAGAAAGCAAGGATATTTTGTGGAAAACCAGCTGGCAAAAATGAAGTATTTAGGATGGTAACAAGGGGCAGGTGTTCTGGGAGGGTTTGGTGAGGGGAAGAGGATTAAAGGATACAGCTTTGGAAGCAGTTTTGAGAGGAAGGAAGCTGACCTGGGAATTGTGCTGGGTCTCTGAGGGTTGGCAGCTGGGAGAACAAGCCCTGGGGGGAAGAGAAAGAGTAGGGGAATCTGGGTCACAGGAGGAGTTGAAGCAAAAGAGATTGGGAGTAGCATGTGGGAGCCCTAGAAACTAAGTAGTCTTTGATTTCCAAATCAGTTTAAACTGTTATGTGCATGTGTTTATCTCTTTCTGCTGCTGCTATGTTACTTAAGATGTTCTTATATACCTAGATTTATTTGTTAAAATGAGCAACCTTTTGTTATAATAGTATCACCTTAGAGTATCCTCCTGTTCTGGAGGGTGTAGCAAAGAGTGGGAATTTTCTCCTTATCAGCTGCTTTTACTGGGGCATGGGAAGGTAGCTTGAGCTCTGTGCATTGAGCATCAGACATTTTTTATCGGAGAACTAAGTCCAATTCTTAATATTTGTATGATGTTATTGTAATTATACGTACATTAATTTGAGGTTAGACTTTGCTAGCTTTAATGGGGATCTGTTCTCCATTCTTTTTTGAAAAAGCATAATGTTGTTAGTGCGTTTATATTAACGTGCTGCTGTGTAAAGGTAATTTAAAGGCCTCGATTGCATCTGATTAGTTATCTCCTAAAAACTGAAAAATTTGTTACTGAATTTTGTCTTCTCTGTCAGACATAACTGATTGTGTCTTAAATGTTGTTAGAAATATGTGAACTCGGCCTCAGTGAAGGGCATTTTTGCTAACTGACTTTGCCTTCTGATGGGCTAAGAGTGTGCATGTGGTCTGTTACTAGAACTGAGTTGATACACAGTAACCATCTCTGTTTGGGCAACCTGATAGGGCACCTGAAATTTTAGACTTGCTGAGAACTAATGTGAAATTGCTTATGTTTATTATGTTGTTACTGCAAAATATTATGAAATCACTTGTGTGAAAAAACAAGATAGCAACTTGTATGTATCTCTTCTTTGTTTAATCTGCAGTGCTGAAAGAGTTTCCCATTTTGTGTTCAGTAGCTACAAACAAAAAAATCCCCACCTCTCAGCTGCCTTAATTCTGACTTGTAATGTTTCTCTTTGTCTTATTTCTTTAGGAATACTTAAAGCTTTCTGATGATTATAAACTTTTGGGTGTCTTCCTTGCAGGTATTGTTCTTATTACCTATAATTTTCTCTCTTACACTGCCTCTGATGATAGCAATCTGCAATTACTCCATTTTTTAAGTCTGTCCCACTTTGGTAAGAAGTGAACGAACAGACGTGGATGACAAGTTTCAGTCTGAGGTGGGCGCTAAAAGCTTGCTGTCTAACTTGGGAACAAGCTGAATAAACTCCTGCCAGTCAGTATTGCTTAGGGAGAGCAATTCAGCTATCTGCTGGGAGGACCTCCTTTACAAAGAGCTGAATGCTCTGTAATCTGCATTAATTGATTAGCAGGCCACTGACTGCCGTGGGAGTGGGAACGCAGGTGCCAGGCCCACTGACAGATCTGCCTTGGGGTGCCTGAATGCTGCCAGCCCCATAGCTGAATGCTGCCAGCCCCATAGCTGGCCGCGGCTCTCCCGCGGCTGGCTTGAGCAGCGCTGCTGCTCAGGTCGCAAGTGGGAACACCCAGCCTGCGGCTTTCACTGCGCTCTCGTGGGAGCACGGCTGCCTAGACCTATTCACCCTCCTCGGGATGCCGCAGATCTCGCTCCAGAAGGAGGAAGGAAAGAGGAACAGACCGTGTTTTCCAGGTCCCTTGGGAGAAAACTTCCTTGTCGCTTGTAAGTGACAGGGCATGAGTTCTCTGATAATCCATATGTACCCCTTAACTGCGGGTCTTGAAGAATTCTGGTTACTGGTAAACGGAAAACCACTTTTCTAAAGCAGGTTTTGGTAGATAAAACCTAGTGACAGATAGAAAATCAGTTATATTATGTGAAAAAGGGAAGTAGATGGGTGTGATTAGGAATGATGTGATACGGGAAACCCTGAATGTTCTCTGACTAAGCGAAACCAAATCTGTGCTGAGGCAAGTTAATCCCACTGGAATCAGCTACTTCTAACACTCAATTACACAGCATTGTCAGCTCATATGCCTCCTCTTTGAGGAGGTATTTTGATATCCCCTTGCTGTTACTGACTGATGTCATGCTACAAGTTCACACTTTATTATTTTTTTTTTCCCCCCTTCTACTTTTACGTTTAAGCTGAAGTTTGAGGTGTGCATAAACACTTGCTGGATTTGTTTTGGGAGTGAGGCACATAAAACTTTGGTTTTAGTTTAGGGCAGTTGGTTTAGTTAGGGCAGATTAAGGCTGCATGAAAAAAATGATACAAGATAATAACATTGCTATCTGGAATTTCAAGGGTCTGATGGAGCATAGGACCTGTCCCTCTCTTCCTCCTGCCCTCAGGATGGGCTGTTGTTCCTTCCAGTATTGCAAAAGATCCCTCTCCATTTCTCTTTTTTTTTTTTCTCCTCCTTTTTTAAATGAGGATTTGAAAACATAATATAACCAGACAACTGTTTTAGCACAAAATGTTGAAATTAGGATTAATATTTTTCATGGAGTAAATGAATGAAAGCATCCCTAGCATCTGGTACTACTGGTATGCTGAAATACACTCAGCTGGGTTGTTTTTAGGAGTTGTTTACTCAAACAGAATGTAGATGAGATTACAGCAGATACACTTTTTTCCTTATTTTAACATGGGAGAAAGGCCGTTCCATGGGCTCACGAGCTGCCGCCTCTGTGATACGTCATCTTAGCCAGGAGGATGATGATGACTTCATTCAAGGTCTAGTATGTTTATCTTACCCATTGCATCGACCAAAACTTCAGTCCAAGCTCCGGGATGAAGATTTATTATTTATCAGGTGTCCGGTGCTGTTTGTCTCAGGATCAGCAGATGAGATGTGTGAAAAAGTGAGTACCCTTGTAAATCCTGCTGTGAAGGGGGAGTATGCAGGCATAGGAATGAGTCTGAGTGATGTCTGTACTGGTATACACAGCTGTGACTTTGATTAACAGCCTTCTCTAAATAGATACAGGTCTTCTGAAGGAAGCCTTGGGTAGGAAACTGCATCGAACATGAGGAAGCCTGGGCGTGCTTTCTTTTGCTGCTTAAAACTTCTGGATCATGCTTGATCATCCACTTTAGCAAACTTATCTTTGGGCCACTAAAATACTGCTAATTTAAATATCTTGTCTTTTTTGATAGGATAAGATTGTACAAATTAAAAGTGGCCTGTGGAAGGAGCGAGTTAATTGCTATTCTGTTTTAACCATTTCAGGTTACAAAACATAAACACTGTGCTGTGCTACCAGTCCACATTCGTCACGTTTTCATGAGAAATTCTAGCAAAGCAGTTCCACCCACAAGTCAGACTTCTGTGGTAGAAAGCGCTATTTTAGTAGAGATGAAGAACAGGTGTGCAGAGATCAGAATACAGTGGTTTTCTGCCTTGTTTCCTTACAAATAGGTATCTGTTATTCTTGAACAGTTCAGCTTGAATTTGGGACTGCGTGCAATTGGCATTTTCCATGCTTGGCAGTTTCTAAGGAGTCATAATGCTTTCGTGAGGAATTGTCACCAACAGAAGTCAGGCTAGCAACCAGCAGATCCTCGGAGTGCCCTCTTAATGGGGAAATCTTTAAGACTTTCTGAGCTGGTTCTTGGATCTGTTTGCTGAGAAAGCTGAACAGAGTCTAAGCCAGTCTCTAGGGAATTATATTGCTACTCTGTCACTGTAGACAAATCTGACCTAAGAAGTTCTGTCATTTTACTGTTAGTACTACCCTCTGGCAGCAAGACTGCATTCCTTCATCCTTCCTTCCCCCGTCGCAGGGAAGGAGCCTGCACAGGGTTGTGACCTTTGCAGTTTTTAAGTTCTAATTTTCTGCTATTCTGTGTTTGAGTGAGGGCAAACCTTTGAGCAAATTCCACTACTGAACACAGTTATCATCACATCTTTTCTATCAGCATGTTTTTAATGTGCACGCAGATCCATTTTGTTTTTAAGAGCTGCCTATTGCGTGTTGCACAAGCAACGCGAGAGACAGCTGTCAGTTGCGCGGTTTGTAGCGGCCGATTCTCTAACTTTTTCATTCTTTTCTCCATAGCAATTACTGGAAGGTGTGGCAAGCAAAATGAAAGCCCCTAAAAAAATCCACTGGATTGATAAAGCAAACCACGGGATGGCAGTCAAAGGACGAACAACAGATGATGTCATGGAAGAAATAAATGGACATGTTTTTTCTTGGCTTAGAGAGATGATTGAACTGGAGGACAAATGATTCTCAATGTTTAAGCAGTATCTTCATTTAGCTTCTCCTAAATGCAGCAAATTAGAGTTTGTTATTTCTGAGAGACGTGTTTTTTAAAACAGGTGTTTTCAGAGGTCTAAGTGTAAATGCAAATAAAACATTTTTGTGTGAATGAAAAAAAAATGCGCAAAACAATAAAGAACTTTTTAAAGGAAGAACAGAGAATGTACCAAATATTTAATACCATGGCAGCATTGTTTTCTGTGTTTCTATGCAATTAACTGTATATAACACTCAATGCTCTGCATTAACAAGTAAATGCTTTTGACTGATATTTGAAGTAATATACTGGAAAGAATCTATATTGACAGCAAACCTTTAGATGTATTCCATTTCTGAGTATATTACTGATGCTATACTTGTTTGAAATTAAAACCTACCGCTTTGTAGGATTCCGCGAGCCCATCCCCTGAGGCTGGCCAGCGTGGGTTTTACTACTCCGGATGACACACTTGGTGTGTGTGCTTGCGGCTGCAGACTTCCCCGCTATGGGCTGTGAGTAACCTGTTGGCGTAACCAAAGGTTATAGCAAGGTATTAATTGCTTTCAGCCAAGTCATCAGCGAGTATCAGCTGAATGGTGCCCCCTGAGACGCAACGGCTGGTTGGTCCCAAGAAAAGCGTCTTGGGTTTGTCTCCTGAGAGACATCTCTACTGCCAGGAGTGGCCTAAAACCTGCTCCGGCCATTCTGCGTCTTATGGCTCACCGCTTGCTGCTGCAGCGCGACCACTTGAATGTGAACAGGCAGCCTTAGCCTGGAGGTTGTTCTTGGGAGGAGCTGTTGCACATGGCAGTGAAGAGCCCGGTCAGCCCTGGTGAGCCGAGAGGCTTTCCGTGATGTTTTGGTCAGGTGCTTAGAGCGGATAGCTTTAGTTTGGGGCTGTATTGTATAAAAGATCTGTTTAAGACTCTAGGTTAGTATAGTTAAATTATAACATAGATTGTTTAGCGCATGATCAAACAAACTATTCCTTAGGCTTGCTTTTACTGTAGTAAAAATAATAGGCAGGTGAAAGTTAAAAATTAGATACAATATTCTTCTGTTGTTTCTCACAAGATGCCTCAAGAATGCTGATCTCCCAGCAGTAGTGTTGTTCAGTAAGCATAGCACACATCTAAATGTTTGCAAAGAAAATAACCATGTGGTTTTTAAATTGACTGGCTGTGTTACAGAGAAAATAAATCCTCGCTTTGGACTGGAAACATATGCGGTAACTTCAGAATTCGATGAATTTAGACTTGACTTTAAATCCATCTATGAATCATTTTCAGATGATGCTGATATGCTCACAAAGTAACAGTTGAATTACTTGGTACCCGTGGAAAGCAAGTATTTTAAAAGCAGACTAGACTGTTGAAACAACGATCAGTTTAGTTTCAGTAGTCACTGCTCAATGCTACTTAATTCTTTTCATATTGCCAAAGAGACGGAGTTTCACAGACAAAGCATCTGTGAAAAACCATATGGAACTTAAAACTTCTATCTAATATTCCTAAAGTGTCTGATGGTACTGTGTTTTTCTTACAGGTTAAAAAGATATATTACAAACCCCACATCATTGTCTTTGAGAATACCGATTCTCTCAGAAGGAACAGTTATGGTCCGAAAAAGATGACTTTGGATGGCTACAAGGGGTGGGGGAGTAGATTTACAATTCTTATCTGCCCTTTTTAGCAGAACATGCTGGTGAATAGACTCAGTATAACAAGCATGAGTAAAAAGTATCTGCGTTTCAAGGTATCTCAGGACAGTAACACATGACTGATACAAACATGGGTTTTATTTAAAAAAAATTATAAAAATGTTTTTGAACAAGGCTCTGCAACCACTGCACAATAAAAAGGAAACAGGGGGGTGCTTGGTTTTCTTCCATATGTAGATCATGATACAGTAAACTTCATGATATCCATTGACATTATCCATTGGCATTTTAATCCAAATTTTTCTTCTTTCCTTAAGAAGGCATTCTGAATGTAGGTAAATATTAAAAAAAAATATTTTACTTCTTTCTGTTAGAGTTCATCTTTGGCCTGTAGTCAAGAAAGAAGAAACATTTTTCAGTTAATTGGAAACTCAATTTTTAACTCCCTAGTCCTGCAAATACATTAAGAAGTGTTTCTAAGTTCGACAGGTGTTAATGATCTGGTAACTGATACCAAGGGTTATCGAGCAATGGCTGTTCCAATTTGGTTGAGTATGCACTGAAGATGCCCAGCGCTTTACATCGGACAGTGTATGTACCGTACCTTTTTTCTGTGGCAAGTACACGGAAAAAGGTCATCATCAGGCTGCGGCACTTTCTCCATCCTATCTCTGATTTTTGGCTCACTCACTTGCAAGCTGGCATAGTCCTAGTTTTAGAAAAGGAAGGTATCGTTAATTCATAAACTTGCTAGATTGTACATCTGGTGGTAAATATTGCACCAGCTCAGCCGAGTAATTCTGTAAAAACTCTGGGGCGATGCAATCTGTTACTCCATAGCGTGCCGCAGACAGGGTAAGCGGATCCTGAACTGCAGGCAGGAGCCCCTTCGGGTGCCCCACTGGAGTTTTGGTATCTTGGTGCTAATGCACAGGTATTTTCAGCTGTGGTTCACGGGGTGTGCGTCTGATGTGGAATTCTTTGATCACTGTGGGCGACATATTCTTGCAGATTAGATCAAGATTTACGCGATCCGACTGCTTCTCTCAAATTGCCACCATAGTCTTAAGGCGTTTCACAGGAAATAACTGCATGCAGTGTTTGTAAACCAACTGAAGTTCTTAATTGCTGCTGCTTGCTTTGTGGCTTCAAGTACTGGACTGGCCAATTTCCAGCAGCTCCATGGCCCTGAATTCTTTCTGTGGGATTTCTATTTTTGTGGTAGTAGTCGTTAAAAATATACTCACCTGGAAAAGTTTGAAATAGTAACAAAAAATGTGATCTCCCATGAGATTGTTTCTTGCAAATTCTTGTCCAGATTTTGCAATATTTTTTGCCTGTCAAAGAAAACAAAAGGTTTGGTTTTTTTTAAATTCTGAAAAAATAGTAGCTATTTCAGTATTGATTCTGGAGTTAAGTATAGTGCTGACAGTTTAGGATAACTTATTTATTTTTATTTAAGCATTCTTAATTTTAGAAGTAAGGCATTCTTATGCAAATACTCTTAATTTTTCCGAAGTTCAATTTAATTTCAAATTAAGGGCAGTATTATGTATTTTTTTAAAAAGGTAAATTATTTGCAGAGTTGATGACAACAATTTTTAAATCCTTCTAAAAGATTTTTTTGTTTTAAAGAAATGCACTTTTTGCTCTCTCTATTTTGTCTGGAAACATCATTGCTAAGTACTTCTAAATGTATATTTACCTCTTCATCATGCTCTTTTGCCCACTGTAGTTTTTCTAGTAGATCACTCAGGTCACTTTTAAATGGAATATAATGTTTCCATGGCTGCAGCTCGTTATAAAAATGCTCATAGTAGATGGAGTCTTGCTTCAGCACCACGCTGTTTCCTGCTAGCAGATAAGGCAATCTGTATGCTGCCACTGTGCCATCAATATTGATTTGATATTTATACTGGAAAGAAAATAATGACCGTAAGTTATTAACAAACAGAAGATCCAAGTAGCCTGGTTAGGTTATAGTATTCTGAGGGCACTGGTGTTACTGACTTGCCGATATTGAGAAATGTAGGATTGGCTAGGCAAGCATCAATGTTTAAGTAGCTTTTATTATTTAGTTTGGAATTCATCACAGTGCAGGGTACACAGAGATGCCCTCTTCATCAATTAAGTTCTCCGGAAATTCTTAGACGCTCATCCTCGGATGTGAGGGTAGACGTGCCACTTCATCCACTGATTTTCCCACTATGTTAGTTATGTTAGTAGTCCTGATCGCTGAATCAGGAAAAAGAAATAAAAAGGAACTTGGAGTTACATAGATTACACAAGGTTCTACAGAACCTTTAGATGTAAATCAAACATTATTATCCTCAGTGTAAGAGCTACATAGCAGTTAATCCCACTGGAGGGATGCCTACTCATGCTTGTTATCGGTGTTGTGCTGAAAAACTAAAAATCACTTTATTATCAATAATATATACAAAGTTATTTGATAGTGGGAAACACCGAGAACCTAGTTCTATCAACAACGGTTAGTGGCTTACCTTAAAAAAATCAAAAAATGAAATGTGCTTAACAATGGGGCCATAGAGGCTTTCATCGTGTTTAAAAAAAAAAAAGTTTGTGAAAGCAGCATCTATGATCTCTGGGTATTTTCTGCTCAGTTTTACAAGTTCAAGCCTCTCTTTGCGGCTGTCACGTCCTCTCCAGAATGCTGTGGTATTCTTGTCTTCCCATGACGGGCCAGTATTTGCTTGAACTGACATCATATCCAGACTGACTCTGGAGCAGAAAGAAGTGATTTAATAGCGAAGCCTACTGGAAATTTTTTTAAGTGCAATTACTTAAAGGAGTTTACAGTACCAATAGGCAAATACCAAGGATGAAGGTAAGTCCTGAGCACACCCATATATGTATTGTATCAGTATTTTTGCAGCGATAAAAATAGATAAGGAATGTAAAGTTCCCAGGCCTGCGGCAAGACAGCATCAGTTCAACAACAACATGGCCTGTGGAAAGAGCACCTGTCAGTTGTCGTGGAAAAAAGTGGCTAAAGGTGGATACCATTGCCTGACAGATGAAGGCGATACAGGGTAACGCAATAGCTGATAATGGTGATGAGGCAGTCAGGATAGTCCAAAGCAAGGTTTTTATGTAACTAGCTTAATACAACGTTTCACTTCCTTTGCTAAATTAAAACACGTAAACTGGGGGGGCAGGAGGGAGCAAATTTAGGAAAAGTCTTGATAATAAAGACAAGGAACCTGAACGGAATGCAGTGAAATGATAAAAAGGTTCAAAGTGCGTAACAAAGATCTCTTAAGGAAGCTGGCTTTGTAGTGTTTCAAGACAGCAACAGAGCAGTTATAAAGGCCAGTTATCAAAGTGGGAGATGGTAGGTCCTAGGTTGAGAGTTCTGGCTACATTGGGCTTTAACAGGTACGGAAAAAAGATTCTAGGAAAATCAGGAAAAAAGAGAGCTGGCCATTTGTCAACATGTTCATGGATGG